AGCTGATCAGTATCTCAATGGGAAACAACTTGAAGCCACCTTATGGTATGCCACTTACTGTAGTTCCTCACTATCTTACAAACCTTGGCACACACCTGATGCCTCTGTAGTTTTGTTGACATGCAACTGTTCAAGTTTCATTCTAGGTACACTATGCATATGTATAATGTTTGGAGTTCTGTGCCAGACAGACTGCAGACTAACTGCTGAGTGTAAAAGATCTTGGGAGGAAAAAGCAAAGGGTTTTGGAGGTTAATTATTAGCTCCCTCAACTGCCCTTTAGGCTGGTGCTACAGTGAGATGGAGTGCAGGAGGGTTGTTGAATCCAAGTGTTGCTGAGAGTACAAAAGACTTTATAAAAGGCTAAGAAATCTGGGAGGTGGAGTTGAATTTGACAAACTGATTTTAAATCAGTTTGGCTGTTGCACTAACACTAATTCTAGGAAAGTGCAGAAGAAAATGAAGGCACTGGATGTAAAATTCATCTTCTGGATAATATCTGCTTTCATATTTCTTTAAATTAAAGAGTCCCTCATCCATTTGCCTGCAATAGTTAGCTTGAAATTTGTGAGCAACACTTTCTGATATTGCAGCGCTCAGAGAGATGGATGAATAAAATTCTTTGGTTCCTTTAATATCAGTACTTACATATATTTAGTGTGTTCATTTTCAGCATTTTTAATTCTAATCTTTTGATAGTTTATTTACTTTTAATTTTTTGTATACTATGAATTTTTACCTATCTTCATTTTTTAATTGTTGTAAACCACATCAAGTCCTGAACAGGGAAAAAGGTGAGGTGGTGGTGGTGGTGGTGATGGTGATGATGATGATAGTAACAACAACAACAATAGATGTTGTCTCTGATTTAACCCACCAATAAAACTCTTATGTTTAATATCAAAAGATTTGTTCCCACACCATATAACCTTATCAGATTTCTAGTGGTTAAGAGTGGCATTTAATTCCTTACTTAGCTTTTTACCTTTCCTGTGAGTACTAAAACCTGCATGAAGTTGTTCAGTATGTGAGAAATAAGAAGAAAGAAGATAAACATGTTTGCTCTATATAAACTGTTAAAATTGCAAATTTGGATTGCCTGGTTGCAGAATTTCAATATTCTTGGCATGGAATCCCCACCTTAACCATGGGTCTCAGGACTAAACAGAGATTTTCTGGCTTTCTTGCTAAGAGGATTGGTATGGGTCACTACCCCAAACATGTCATTCTATCTGCTTTCCTAGAATGCAGCACTGAAAGTCTTG